TTTTTTTTTTTTTTTAATTAGAAGCTTCATTGATTGTTGAATAAATTTAGGAGACAGAAGAACTAAAAGATGTGGAATACCTGAGCTTATGCAAAATGAACACTCTTCAATTTTTTTAGTATCTAGTAAATTCTATTTTTTATGAGAAGTTTTTGTCTGAATAAATTAGAACTACCCCTACTGATGAAGATGGTCCAGGGTTTCAAAATTTCTAATTGTTTTTTTCCTACAGTAGAGTATAAAAAAAAGACCTCTTAAAGTATGTGGTAGTCTGGTTATTAGGGAAATGGATTTGACCACAGTGGAGTCGCTTCCCTACATAATTCAGAAATCTGTTTCACCTCACATAACTCGACATTTTAAAGAAAAATAATCATTCCATGGCTTTTTACATGCTAATGAATCACCTCACTTTTCACCTACAACCATCTCTTCTTTGTTCAATTTAAAGCATTACAACAAATGTTGGGTGAAAACTAATGTCTCCGCAAACAGGTTCTCAACAGCTCTGCTCTCAGTCTTGTGTTGCAAATAATGAAGCAATGGGACCAGGACCAGATCGCAGCTGTGCTTTGATTTATGTCCTGGACAGAGCCTGTTTAAATATATCTCAGACTGCCTGTGGCTCGATTCAGTCAAGTCCCCTCATGCAGTTAGTTTCTTACTTATCAAGTTAAGAGCACATTGCTGTGAAGGGAGAGTAAGAGGAGGATGTGAAGATGGGGGCCCTGCAGGTGCACCAGCACCACAGCAGATAGGAAAACAGAACAGCTCTCAGTCAGAGGATGCAGGCAGGTAACCAGATCCACACTGACTGCAAGTGTAGACCTGAGATCAAATATCACCTGAGCAGCACACAGGGAGAAGTTGCTGGACAAAGACAACAGACAAGGCAAGGGGGATAGGACCTTGGCTGGAGTCTGCAGTGTCATACAGGAGACGGTGTGGACAGCACAGCTATGTGAAGTTTTGAACAAATGCAGAAATTCTATATGGTTGATTAAGGATGCCAAAGCCTTTTCAGGCCATCACCACATTTTTATGACAAAGGAAATGTTAAAATCACAGAAATCCTTAATAAAAACCGGAAACAGAGGAATGCATTGCTCAGTTGTACCTGGTCTCTCCAATGAGATCTCTGTGTGTTAGTTCCCATAGAGGGTACAAATGCAAGACTATAATTTATAGCATATCACATTAATAGCATAGCACAGTATAGCATAGACTAAACTAGATTTGACTAGAATAGAGTAGAATATTTCAGTTGGAAGGGACCTACAATGACCATCTAGTCCAACTGCCTGACCAATTCAGGGCTGAGCAAAAGCTAAAGCATGTTATTAAGGGCATTGTCCAAGTGCCTCTTGAACACTGACAGGCTTGAGGCATTGACCACCTCTCTAGGAAGCCTGTTCCAGTGTTTGACCACACTCTCAAAAAAGAAATGCCTCCTAATGTCCAGTCTACACCTCCCCTGGTGCATCTTTGAACCATTCCCATGTGTCCTATCACTGGATACCAGGGAGCAGAGCTCAGCACCTCCCTCTCCACATCCTCTTCTCAGGAAGCTGCACTGAGCAATGAGGTCACCCTTCAGCCTCTTCTTCTCCAAACTAGACAAACACAAAGTCCTTAGCCACTCCTCACAGGACATTCCTTTCAGCCCTTTCACCATCTTTGCTGCCCTCCTCTGGATGCATTCAAGGACCATCACATCCTTCTTAAATTGCGGGGCCCAGAACAGCACGGAGTATACAAAGTGAGGCCGCACCAACGTTGAATACAGCAGAATAATCCCCTCTTTTGACCGGCTGGTGATGCTGTGTTTGATGCACTCCAGGCTGCGGGTTGCCCTCTTGGCTGCCAGGGCACGCTGCTGACTCCCATTGAGCCTGCTGCCGACCAGCACCCCCAGATCCCTTTCTGCAGGGTTGCTCTCCAGCTGCTCCTCTCCCAGTTTACACTTCTGCCTGCCATTACTCCAACCTAGGTGCAGGATCTGGCATTTGGACATGTTGAATTTAATGACATTGATGATTGCCCAATTCTAGTATTTGTCTAATGTTAAATAGTAGTATTTATTAACAATTAAATACTATAGTACTTCAAGTCTAAATTGGTTTAATAGCATGTGTGTATATAAGTACAGAGAGAGAATAGATAAATATATGCTATTAGACCATTTTATTAAACTTTAAAGTCCTCTTATTGTGTACATTTTTCAATGAAAAGCTTTTTTCTCAATTATTCCTCTGGATCCAATTAGCTTTTTATCTCAAGATGAGAAAATCAGACATAAAATGAGAAATAATTATCTTAGTCTGAACAAAAGAAAAAGGCAGACTGGGGAAACGATCGTTTGGGGAGTTGTGTGATAATTCCTCTGACAGCTATGAGTGTTAGTTTACATATTTTTGTAGCGTATCTATAAACATTCTTCAAAACACATTACAAATAACAAACTGCTCTCACTTCTCTTAGCTATTCTCACAACATTTAAGGCACTGCTTCAGTGTGGAGGAGTTGTTTCCATGTTCCATCTTCCAGAGACAGGTGTTTGTTCATTTAATTTTGATATTTCAAGCCCTCTTGCTTGAAAACCAATAGAGAATTCGTAGATGAAAACTATAAACTTGAAGTAACAGAACACTGATAAATCCCTTCCCAAACCTTTTTTAAATTATATTATTCTTAACTTTTTAAAAATCTCTTTCTTTAGAAATCTGAAATATGTTAACTTCCTGATATGATGAACAGATCTTCTGTGATAGGCAAACAACTGCACTAGGACGTATCATATGCACGATCTTCTACAAGGTTTTGCAGTATGCAGGAAAGGGAAATAAAGATTAATTGCTTATTTTCAGTTCCTCACATTTTTATGCGACTGGTTGCTCTCCATTTTACAATTCTTATTTCTTTTTTTTTTTTTTTTCCCACAAGCTGAATTGATGCCCCATTGCAACAATGAAAGGCCAAGTATTGAATGCAATGAGCAATTTACCCTTTTCTCCTCTAGATAGGATCTGCCAAGGTCATGACTGAGGCATCTGAGGTGGCCGTAGTTAGCTTCAGAGTTGTGAAATAGAGCTGTTTATTCTTTGGCTACTCAGCTGTGTGATCTTGCTGTGCTGCTATTGACTTCAGTGACCATAGAACTGGGATTCTTTACAAAAAAACAGCAGCCTTGTTTGTACACTAACAGCAGCAACGCGCTTTTCTTGTCCTGAGCTTGCTATTCAAATATTAATGAACACTAGCTCTGATCGTACCTCCGGTGCAAATAATTGTTGTCACACAGGGAGAACTGAAAAAGTGGTCTCTTTGTCATCCCAGTGGATACAGCTCAATGATTTGAGCTTCCCATGGTGTTATGCCGGAGTATCTCAATACTGATTTAGAAGAGGCAGTCTTGCCTCCAGAAGAGGTCTGAGACACTACTAAAGGTGCCTGTGGCTATGAATGATATATGTTGTCTTGTGTTAGGAAAGGAAGATACTATTTTAACACAGTAAAATTCCCTTTATAACCAATAGATGTATACGTTGAAAACAATGGTGGGACAAAGTCCTTTTTTTGAGATTGTTAACAAATGTGCCCACATGTGTTTACTTTTGAAGAGGTGAAATGGTCTTTACCATCACACAGAAAGGAAGAAACGGATTTTCCCACCATTATCATAAAACAGCAAATGGTGTTCTGGACAAATCTACTGAAAATCACTTTGGGACAAAGACTAATTCAGGAAAATTTCAGTCAATAAAGTAACATTTTTGAAATATTAAAAATTACTCAAAAAACTACAATAAAATACAAAAGAAAATTCAGGTTTGATGATAACCCCTTTTGTAATGTTGTTGAATGCTCTTTTATAATTCCAAGTTAAAAGAGTCAATAAGTCCAACAAAATCCTTTCCCTCAGACATATTTTTCTCTCTTTTTCTGTCTGATAGGAATAATATGTGTGCCAGCGAACCGTGAATACAATTAAGTACTTAATGATAATCTGGCTTTTAGAGTAATTTTTTAGTCATTTTATCACTACCTGTACCTTGCTACTTAGAAAGTTATCTCTTCATTTTATAGACTAAATTGTTCTTTATAACAAATTAACATTGTATTTTACATTGTACCCTTTCCTATATATATGAAAAACCATGGCATATTCATGATTCTGGTCTTCTCTTTTTTTCTTTTTTTTTTTTCTTTTGTTATGTTTAACAGATATGTTAGGTCAAGAACGAAGCATGACATTGACATGAGAATAGGGATACATTCAGGATCCGTTCTGTGTGGAGTGCTGGGCCTGCGAAAGTGGCAGTTTGATGTCTGGTCATGGGACGTGGATATTGCAAACAAACTCGAGTCAGGTGGAATTCCTGGGTAAGCCAACACGTACTTCTTACAGTCAGAAAACACTGCCAACACAGTACACTGTTAACCTTGCCAACAAATTAACCATCTTATAATATTTCATAAACTGTGACTTCTTTTTTTTCTGTTTTGCGGTTGGCAAGGATTTGTGAGGCTACAGTCAAAAAAGGTAGAATTGTCAGCTTGCAGAGGCATTGGAAAAGACAAACACATTTCTTTTTCTTTGCCAGCTGTCATTTCCTGAAAATGGTCAGTGATTGTATTCATCTCATATGATACTCAGAGATAGATCAAATTTCCCAGTTAAGTGTCGGCCACTCCTGAGTTTCTCCAGGCTTTATTCTCTGATCCTGTGCATTCAAATGCTGGTGGAAGTCATAAGAGTGTAATTTATTTTATTTCATAATGCACAAAGTGTGGGAAAAATTCTGTGTTCATAAGTTGCTATGCTAATAACAAGGCTTTATAGACAGCAGGCTCACTAGGAGGTCTTGTAAATAATTTCATGCTTTAGTAGATGTTTTACATGTGAAAAAACATTTCTACATGTGAAAATACATGGTTTTCCATTGAGCTCTGTTACAGTTTTGCACAACACCGCTCTCTCACTCTCTCTCTAGTTTTTCTTTGTCTGAGGCGGCAGATTTACCTGGAAGACAAAATGTTATTTCTGCCTGACTTGCCATATATCTCACAATAGTTTGTAAGCTGCAAATCCTAAGTTTGAAGTGACAGTAGTGGTTGCAGGAATCCTCTGTTCACTTTCAGTTCCATCTTCCATTGATGAAAGATGTAGCAAAAGTTCCCCTACAACAATTCAATTTTTTGGCCACGGAACATAGAAGCAATAGCAAGGGACATATTTATGTGGAAAAAGTCTAAGTGATGCTGTCATCTTGAGTGAGAGAGGTTTTAAGTTATCAAATCTGAGTACTGTGCTGTACTCCCTACATATACATTATGATCTGTCAGAGCTGTCATGTTCCCAGGAAGTTAGAAAGATATTTTCTTTATATTGTTTTTGCAAATGTGGACCCCTTCCACCGTTCCCCATAGTAGACCTTTATACCAAAATATATATTTTTAGAATCAGGAGAAAATGAATTATTGAGTGCTCTGAAAACTACTTCTGTGCTCTGCACATGTCATCAGTGTTAAAAATTGCAGAAAAAGATTTACTTTCCCTGCTGCTTATCCCACATGATAGCTCAAGATGACTAAGAAAGCTCACATGCTGCTTTGTTAGCGTGAGCAAATTAGTCATCCGTTTCACCATCCACACCTGCAAAAAGTCTGATTTATTGTTGTTAATGCATGCAAGAAGTACAACTATTAATGAATAACCCAGAGAACTCACCACCTCGCTTGCTGATAAAATGCCAGGCCAGGTTGCAGTCTGTTGGAGCAGAGTGATTTCCACTCCTCTATATCAGTTTGCCAACAGAACAAAGCTTTTCTGTGGCAGCAATTCACTCAGTCCCTCAAAACAGTAATTTACATCAGGCTTTCCTAGTGTGCAGAACAGGTTTAACAGAGCGTTTAAGTTCACTTCAGCCTCTCCTTACTTCTCCCTGCCTCCCGCATTCAAATCCCCCTGCCTCCCACAGTACCGAGATCATCCCCCTTCCCGGAGCTGCACTGCTTCGCTCTGTTTGGGCAGAAAAGCTGCCCTGGGGTTGTGAATGGTCCTGCTCCCACAGTGTGAAACAAGAGAAGAAATGAACCACAGCCCTTTCCTGAGCACAGAGAGAAGGGAGGCAGCTCGTCTGCTTGGGATGGGGAGGATCCCTCCACCCAGGCTGGGGACAAGAGGGAAGGGGCTCAGCTCTTCCCCTCGCCGGTTCCATGTCATGAGACCTCATGAGCACGGGTGATGCAGGGGCAGATTGCCACCAGTTGAAGGATCATAAGCAGGCAGCCCATCTGTCATAGAAGGAGGCACTTGGGAGCGCTTAGAAAAAGCAATCATTTTTTGTTTTATTTGAGGAAAAGAATGTGTCTGCAACACCTGAGAAGGAAACCATGCAAGATCCTCCAGTGTTATTTCAGACATTCTTCCACCAGGACACCGTCTTCTAACACTCTTCACCTGGTGTAACTGGGTATTAATCTGTGACATTGAACTGGTATAAAACCTAGCTAATAATTAATTTTCCAGGATGCATCAGTGGCAGATATCATCTAAAGATTTGGACCTGATATGTTTTCAGCACTAGGACAAGCCACACCTTTTTACTTCGATGCTCAGGTTCACGATTTACTGCATTTGTATAAAATCAGAAAGACATCACTCCACTATACATTTTAAGGTTTTTTTTAAGTAAGCTGTAGAAAAGGTGAAACCAGAAAAGATTTTTAATCTACCAACTATTTATTAACATTCGATCCATTTAAAGGTATTACATCAATAGCCAGTTACACTCTACTTAAAGCTGTTATCATTTTTATTATAAAATCCATATTTCAGGGCTTTATAATGCAATCTTTCAAAATTATATTAGCTGAAATTCAGCACAAAGATAGTCACCCCGGCAACTATCATTTTCTTTTTTCTCTTATTTTTTATTTTTTTTTTAAATTAGTATTTTACTTAAATCAGTTTAGTCTATTTGGGCTTCTAAGAGCTAGGAAATGCATTGTCCTTCTGAGAGATCATATGATTTGGTTTTAAAGTCCAGGCCAAAAGTTGCTCATATTTGAGAAACATTTTTACTGTTCTTTATTGTCAGTTTTACTGACATTTTACTACAAAAGAATACTAATTTCTGTGGACATCATAACTGCTTGACTTCAGGCAGTGAAAGTTGTACAAAACCTGTGTTGGCTTCAGAGAGAAACTGAGACAGGATAAAAAAACAGCTTAGATTACACAAATTTTTGATCTTCTAATTATATAGACCCAGTTTGTGCCAAATTCTTATACTTCTAGGTATTTCACAATACTTAAAGACAACTAGTGCTTTATTTTCTGGCGATACATGCACGTCACCCATGTGCTTATAACCTTCCTACTCCAGCACATCATATTTTATGTGACTTAATTCTGCGGTGGCATCCTTTAAGTTCCAGAAGAAAGTTCCCAAAAGGCATGCTAGGACCATTTCCTTCAGTGGAGACAAGTCAATTTGTGAAGTCTGAGAAAAATGCTTCAGCATTTGTCATTAAGAAATTATCAAGAATTTTAGCTGACTGAATTTTAGGAATCTGTCTGTAAGCCTGACTTTCAAAAAGTGCCATGCATACAAAATTGAAAAATGAGCTGATTTTAAAATATCTTAATGAAGTCACTACATTAATTTGCTTGAGTTAGCTAAGTACCTAATTAACATCTGCTCTTACTGTGTTTATGATGCTATATTATAAATTACAGCACAGATAACCATGTGGATGTATTTTAGAGGTATCTGCAGTTTACCCTACATGTAGGAAGTTGAAGATTTCTCAAAAATATAAATAAAACTCCTTTTTCTCTTTTTATTTTTTTTTTAATTTGAACTTCTTTCTGTCCTTCTCAAGCAGTCATAATTATGGTTAAGAAAGTTCAAATACCAAACACCTCCAGGTTTAATTGTAAGACATCCAAAGCCTTATCATGCTTTTGCAAAATTTGAGCTTTTCACATCATCTCTTAGATTCAACTTCACTTTTGCAAAAGCTTTTTGAACTCATTGCTTAGTCTTACCAGAAATTATCACCCCACCTGCATTTATTTAGTTTCCCTATTTCTCTAATTCACTTCAGATGCAATCAGATCACTAATTTAAAGTGTCTAATCTTCCTCAGGTAACTCAAGAAAATTAAAGAGCTTTCACACAAACTGCCCTAATGCATGCCATATATTTTCCTCTTACCATTTTACCTGAAGTTACAATTTGTGTTCACTTTGAATAGTATTTTCCTCAGGAAAGTCTCCCATTAAGCTATTACTGTGACTAAAGTATCAGGTGTGAATATCAAAGTGTTTCTTCTGTGACAGGACTTTGTGCATTCATCCTATTGAAGTGAACATACCCTGAGAGTGTTCACCCCCAAACAAAGCTCATGTTTGTTGAGTACACTACTTCATTTTCTTTGTAGAAACCATCATATACAATAGAAAAACTTTTATTTATCCGTCATGTTAAAAATTATGCAGAGTTCATAAACTCTCCTTACCTACGTATACTAGAGCACAGTCAGTATTTGCTACTATTTATTTCACTTATGCAGGAGAATTCACATCTCCAAAGCCACCCTGGACTGCCTGAATGGGGATTATAAAGTTGAAGAAGGGCACGGCAAAGAGCGTAATGAATTCTTGAGGAAACATAATATTGAGACTTATTTAATTAAACAACCTGAGGAGAGTCTGTTGACTTTGCCTGAAGATATTGTGAAAGAGGCTGTGAGCTCCTCTGACAGGAGAAACAGTGGAGCAACGTTTACTGAAGGATCCTGGAGCCCTGAACTTCCATTTGATAACATTGTGGGAAAACAGAACGTAAGTCAATCTTCCTTTAATGTCATCCAATATGAATGCATGCTTGAATGCATTTCAATAATGGAAGCCTCAGAGGAGACAAATTCATCTCTAACCTTTATTCTAACACATACTGAAACAGCAGAGGATTAAATAGATTGTTTCAGGGCAGAAACAAAACTGGTAAATGCCATGGGACCAAAAGTTTTTATTTTGTTTTGTTTTGTTTTTCAACTGAAATTAAATATTACACAGTTTAATTTTAATTGAGCCAGCCCATAAAGAAGTAAATTAAAGTGAAGCTAATGTTACTAAACTAGCTGTGACATTCTAGTCAGAGTGTGTATCTCATTGCATAGCTTCACTGCACTGCCATCAAAATAAATGGATGAGTGAATGGACATTTTGTCAGAGGAAAAGGTATAGTGTAGGTTATTGATATCTAAGGGAAAGAAGAAAGATCTACCTTAAAAAAAGCACCTTGTGAAAATGGTTTGTCCATTCTTCACTTTCCTCTTTTTTTTTAATAAAAAGTATTAAAAACTTAGATTCTAAGACATAATAAAGGTTCACTAGCAGGTGAGCTCAACTCCTAAGGTCATGCATAGCTCTATAGAAATATGAGACAATAACAACTGCTCCTGATCAGATCTTTTCCAAAAGCACTGCATGGCTAATCACTGGCCCCCTGAGAACCAACAATTATTGTACAGTCATAAAAATCGCTTTGTGAAGTCTGCTTGCTTAGAGGAATTGAAGAGGCAAATGTTGAAATGCCCTCGGACACCACTCTTTTCACTGCATTTGAAAGATTGATGAGTCTTTTTGAAACAAGGTCAGCTGGAGTTTTCTTCCATTCTTCTGAGGGATCTGTAATTACATGATCTATCCTTTCTTCTGCTGCACATCCTTAGTCCCACTTGTCTGCACTGTCTGTTGAACTTCAAGCTCTGTTGTGTGGAGGTCTTGTTTTGTCAACCGTCTTCTGCTTCTTATAAATCTGCTCAGAAGAGATAAACCTTCACAATCAATCAGCCCATGGCAGTGTCTTTGTCTCTTCAAACTGAACAGGAGCATGGCATAGTTTGCCTGTTTTATACATGTGCTGGACATCTGTGTATCTGCATGTACACTGCCTTTCAGTTTTCTCTGTATTTTGTCGACCTGTCTGTATATTCTCATTTCACTAGGAACAGAAGCATGGATGCATGCTGCTGTCAATATCTTCTGATCTCTCTCTGTTTCTTCTTCTTTCCCTTTAAGACATTCCAGTTTCTCTAGTCCAAAAAATATGTGTGATGTAGGCTATCATTTTGTTGATCATTATCTCAGCTAAACCTGACCTTGATACTAACAAGGGCAAGGAATGAAATGAAAGACTAGTGGTTTTATTTGATTATTGATCAACTCTCACCCAATAAACTAGTAAAAACCCATGGAAATCATTGAAATAGGTATAACTAAACAGCTGTTTTAACATAGATTTTTGTCTTATGGCAATAAACAATTCATTAGGTGGTGTTGGGTTGATGGTTGGACTTAATGATCCTTGAGGTCTTTTCCAACCTTAATGATTCTATGATTCTGTGATTCTATGATTTTTAGAATAGTTTCTCACTGGTTTTTTGAGAACTTGTTTTTGTTCTGAAAATAACTATAGTTTTATATTACATAGCTTTACAATAAGCTTTTCTGTGGAGACAAGGTTTTAAAAATCCACTGTTCCACGTGTGATTCAATTGTTATGTAGTTTTCAATTTAAACTTGAGACAGTAATCATTACTGCTTATAAATAATGTATTTCAGCTCAAAATTCATATGATAGATTTAAATTATACTAGGATATAGTAGCTTTTTTCCAGAGGTGTGTCAGTCTTGGACATAACAAGCATTTAATAACATTAATTATACAGCCTAAAGGTCACTAGCAGCAGCAGACGTTGAGAATCCAAGTAGCAGTAACTCAACAATGAATCACACCGGATGCTTTAATTTTTGCCAATATAATTTAAATTATTTATATACCCAACATAAGTTATGACAAAATTTGAGCAACTCTGATCACAGGTGTCTTACTTTTAGTTTTAGTTTTGCTAGGAAGAATATGAAGTGGCAAAGTCTCTGCTGAGTTCTCTTGCCAAAGTCAAGTTCCTCACAATCCATATTCTCTACCTCAAACTGATTTTCTATGAGCAGCCTAAGTCAGTGAACGGAAGGTGTATAGATGTGAGTAAGGAACAGAATAACAACTGTACAGTCAGAGATATTAAAAAAAACTACACATGTCTACAGCACAGTTAGAACCACGTGCCTTAGCTCTGACAGTGAGGCAAGCCAAGGACCAAGTGCCTGCTCTGAATTTCAGACTATGCCCACTATGGATGGAGTTCTCTGTTACTGAAATAAGTGTCTGGGTTTCTTTCCTAAAGCAAAGAAAGTTGGACAGAAGTTATTTTATGTTAAGAGACTGAAGGCCTTCTCCTCTAAAATACATTAATAGCTGATGAAATTGGATTTCTTTGCCACGCCTCACAAAAGAAGCAGCTGAAAGTATAACATGGTCACTATGTGTGGTGCTGAAAGCACCTGGTGGGCCTGTAATGATATGAATTAAGAAAAAAGGATATTAACATGTCTGTGTCTTGTATAAGCATATTTTAGTTGTGACTGCAATGACTCTTAACAGTTATCACAAAATGATACTTGAAGACTGCCAAGATGACAGAAAGGTATAAACAAAAGGGTGGAATTCAGTTCAAACCAAGGCACCTGTTTTTGTGTATCTACTGACTGTTCCAGGTGTTGGTCTTCCACACAGCTCAGGTCCTAAACATAAGGGTCCAGTGTTATTTGTGGTGCTCTAGGGTGCTTGAGACATCCATATGACAAGGGGCCTATAAAAGACCTGTGATCACCTGAACTATCAGAAGCCAGGTAGGAGACTCTGATGTCTCAAATGGTGCTGAACACCTACTCTGAAATGTGCTAAGAGTTTGATTCAGCTTCTTAACTGTGGCCATCTATTGCAGTTGGAGATACCCAAGCCACACCAGCAGGTCTGCACCACTGGCCAGAAGTGCATGGTGTCATACCTCCTAGCTCTAGACTGTTTTCCAGGACACCCTAGAGCATCTCAGCTGACCATAGCTGTATATGATTGTACAACCAAAAGTATCCAGAGTATATATTGCCAGTAACAGAAGCTTAGACGCCAAGTACCTAGATACCTTAATTTAGGTGTCCTCCCCTTGAACAAAAGCCTACCTATATCGTGTCTCTTTAAACATATGACTTCTTTCCCTCCAAGACCTGGTGTTAGCAGGATAGAAGAAAAAACAAAATAAAAAAAAGCTTTCCTCATGTTTTCTAAATGTCACTGATTAAAAATTTCCCTTCTTGTTGAGGTCAGGATGCTTGGACTTGTTGCATGAAAACTTCGCAGGAAGGAAGTAAAATCTAATACCAGCTACTTTTTTTAAAATCTCTATAAAATTGCTCTAAAGTTGGAGTTTTATTATTTATTGGTTTTAATTCATCCTACCTTTTAGTCTCAAATGCAAGTTTGTCTGGTTTTTTTTTTTAACAGAAGTTTGTATGTTTTCCTGTATGATGAATGGTTATTGTCAGCATCAGGAAAATTCAAAAGCCTATTATAGGATTCACAAGTGTACCATCTTGCATACAGCTGATCACAAAAATGTAGGTGAGGTAATAGGGAGAACCAGTATTTATTTATGTTGGTATAACAGAGTCTTAAAAGATGCAGAGCAAAGAAGATGATACAGAGAAAAAAAATGTGGTTAAAACATGTCCTCAGGATAATGATTTGCATAATGTTTTTCATTATTCTTATTACTACTTACAGAGAAGAAGTTTTCTTAAGAGTGTTTATGGGTGTGAGGGAGAGAAAACTCCACTAAACTCAGATATGAATTTCCTTGTTATCCTCCAAAAATAAATGCAAATTCAGAGTCCATTTTTGCACCAATACTGTTGACACCACTGCCATACTGGTGATATTGTGTCATGTTCATCTGCCATGAATTGTAAACCACTTCATACATTCAGCAAGAAGACAGTTCTTCATATTAATCAAGCTTTAAAATACAATTTGAAGCAAAATGTAGTCACTTAGTAGGGTGAATTGAGATCCCAACTCAATTGAGATGCCCAACTAAAACATTCGAGACCTCCTCCACCCTCACTTCTACTGGAGATACGACAATGCAAACTAATTCTGAGGAATTAACGCGCACAACAGCAGCTGATGTGATCTCGTCCTTTAACAGTGACTTACGACCCCCTTGTGCGATTTCAGCCACCACAAATTGATAATAACTTCTCTGCATAGCTCAGTTTAAAAGCGACAGGAACACCTCAACTAAAGTAGTGCTTTAGTGGGTAGTAAAACAGTATTTATCCAACTTCCAGCTGATTCAATGGATTGTTTTCTGGGGATTTCACTCTGACTTTAGGGCTTTCACTTTAACTCCAAGGCTAAGATATAGATTCAGGCATATCTGAAACTTTAGTATGGGAAAAGTTTCCTTATTTTTTTTTTTTTATTATTTTGGAAGATTTCAGTCCTGATACATTGTTTTGCCTATATATTGGGGCTCTTAAGCCACTCATCAAAAGATGGAATACAAGAAAACAAGATATTGTCTGTGACTACAGGGTCCTTGGAATTTATTTGAGGATTGTAAAGAGAGTTATCACTTGAGGTTTGACAGTGGGTACCTGAGACCCTTCCTGTGCTTTAATATGCAAGTTTTATTAGAATGTAATTGCTGACTATACTTTGAATATGAACAAAGGAATTCTCCCTATATCATTTGTTGTATATAACCCCATGATCCGAAAGAATTGGCTTTTCAGAGATATCTAGTGATAAATCCATTCCAGATTCCTGTTCCCAACAATGCCCAGTAGGATATATAGCAGATCTTTCCAGCAGGGACCTATGGGATAATTTTTCTCCAGCAGAAGTGTGTTTCTTGTCCATAATAGTTCTGAAATGTCTTACGCTGTGATGTATGAAGGTTTATGTCCTTTCCATTCATTAATACTTCTTAACGCTAGGGAATATCACAGGTAGCAGCTTTTATTTTCCCATTCTAGTGGGAAAGTGCTGCTTCACTGTGGTTTGTATCATGAAATGATACCATGAAAGTGAATTGAGTTATTCTCTTTGTGAAAACAAGCCCTACCTCTTTCCTGAAGATGAAGCACCCTTGTACTATCTCCGCTAGCTTTCCTTGCAAAGCTATGCAAAAGTCTTTTTATTTTCTTTTGATTAGTTAATGAAATAAAAAAAAGGAATAATGCATTTGAGATAATATTTAAATTTGTAATTTGAATTACAGTTAAATCAAACCATATAGCCTAACTGTAGTCGAGACTGGGTGAAATAAACTAATAGTGAAGAAGAACATATTATTTGAAAACCCACGTTAAAGTAATCAGAAATGTCACCTTCTTCACTCCTGCCTAACCGATCTGTTCCATAACTACACACATACAGTAACTTTAAGATCCAGAAAAACATCATTACTCCTATTTTGTGACTTATATTTTCTTTTGCATCTGTTCTTAGTTGTTAAAACACACCATTGAATTACATACCCTGCTGTGATTTTGGTGTGTTCCCCTCATTCATGCTCTAATAATCAATTAGCAGAATCTTGAAAGGGGAATATATTCCTAGCATTCAGTGCAGCAGCAAAGCTCCTAGGCTGTATAAAAGAAGGCATTAAATTGCTCCCCTTAATGTACTGTGTGTGTTTAGTGGAACAGACTTCTAATTTTACACTTCTGTAGATTTCATTGAATGAATTGCATGGAATGCTGTAATGGTTTGCAATGCAACATGATCTAAAACATTGCATTTTTAACCTAAGGGGACCAGCAGGTTTATTCTGTTTGCATGTGCTTTCCCCTAGACTCTGGCTGCCCTAACAAGAAATTCAATAAATCTGCTTCCAAACCATCTTGCACAAGCTTTGCATGTCCAGTCTGGGCCTGAGGAAATTAACAAGCGAATAGAGCACACCATCGACTTACGGAGTGGCGATAAATTGAGAAGAGAGCATATCAAGCCTTTTTCACTGATGTTTAAAGACTCCAGCCTGGAGCATAAGGTAGCTGGGTCTTGGTAGCTGCATCATTTGCAACTAAAATTGTAATAAATGTCCAATGAAGTAGAGAAGCTCTAGGTTCTAACTTGCATTGTTTGTTTTCTGGTTTTGTATTACTTTTTCATTTAGTTTCAGTTTATAGAAGTTGGGACTGAGCTAGAGGTCATAATAGACAGCGTCATAATGGAGGTGTTAAAATATTGCAATGATTACATTTCATTTTTGGAAAATGCGTACACCGAGCAAACTCAGCTTCTGAAAACAGCAGCCATTTGCCGAGCTGTGTTCACTGCCTGGTACAAGCAGATTTCCATCAGATGACAGGTTGCTTTGGCACAAGTGGTGATTTAACATATTAATAAACTGACACTTCTATTCAAAACATAAATCTATATTTATATAGATATGCTTCTTTCACATAATCATAAGATCCATCTGATGTCCTCTAGGCAGCTGCTATGTTTATTTCAAGACAAAACTAATTTGTCAACTCTTTTCTTTAAACATCCTTTTTTTAATATCAACTTCTAAGAGGTAAATATTTTTCATGTCTTTGCTGCGGCTCAACAGCAGTATGATCTCACTAATTTCTATTTCAGTCTACATCCAGATGTAAGTTATAAGTTAAAAAAGATAAAACAATGGGAGAATTTTCCTTGCACACTGATGGCATGGGGCGGGGTTGCATAGATCTCAAATTATTTCATTGACTTCTATGTTATTATAATGCAGCAAGAGCAGGTCTGTGATAGGATCTGCACTTAGACTGAAAAGAAAGAGAAATAATGGGGAACTGCAAGCATGGAGGCCCACTTCTCTGTCATCCCTTTAACCTCCACCAGAAAACAGACTTTTTTACTTGACTTATGGCAGACCAGTCCTCAGGTGGTATCAGTGGTGAGAGTTCAATGAAAACCATTGGAATAGAAAAATTCTGCTTGAAGTATATTTAAGCCTTTATTTCACAAGCAATCCTGCAGAAGGAAAAAGAAAAGTTTGCTTAAAAAGATAAAATATTCAATTTCCTCATGAGAATATTTATAACACTGAGACAGGTAGAATCCCCAAAGCCAGATTAGTCACTACTGCTGCAACTGAAGATATGGAGATACTTCTTTCAGTGCAGTCACCACGCAGAGCTGACAGGGACCCAAAGGAAGAGAAATCCAAGATTTCTGATATCCTGTAAATTACCATCTAAAGGCCTAAAAGTCATGAGTAATCTTTAATCTTTTTGAAGAACAACATCAAAAGATAAGGTGAAAAAGTCTAGACAAAAAGAAAACATTTAACCTAGAAGGTGGGGGTTGGTATATTAGAAATTTTTTGTGCAAAGGAGGAAATATCCTGGTCACAAACAACTTGCTGAATGAGTAAGCTAGTCAATGGTTCTCCTAGTCTTACATTACTATTTAATAAAAATGAGGCCTGAACATGTGCTAGAGTAAAGGGACACTGCCCAGAAACAGATCCTATATTCAGAATATAAATTTCTTGTCAATTTAGACTTCACAATTAGGAGCCACAAGGAAAATCTGTACAGAAAGGGTAGATTTTCATTTAAATGCAATTTTGAAAAGAGAGGAAAAAAAAACCCATGTTCTAATCCATCACATTATATAGATCACATTTTAAATATCGATAACATTTTTAATTTATCTGGATGACAAAAAGTCTATTTAAGTCAGCATTTTGAGCAGTTTTCATACATTTCCAATTCCAACCTGTGCTGCAATGCTTGGAAAATGGTGTTTTCACTCAATATTTCCTTAGGTGCTAGTCCCAACCAGTAAGCACAGGCAATATAAACACAAAATCCTTTCCATAAGGTGGACTGAATCTCCTTTCTGTCCTCTAAATTGGGCTGGTTTTAGCATTACATGGTAACAAAGTTTTAAAAAGTATCAGCACTGTTTTACTTGCCCTGGTTCATCCACCTCCAACAGTTGGATAAGTTGCTGGTCAGCAACCTCCTTGCTTGTGTTGAGGGTGCCAGGGTACCATAGTTGTGCTCAGAGAAGGATGGGGAATGCAAAGGGACGATATCAATTAAGGAAAGATGAAGAGATGTTATTAGCAGCCTTCCAGTACATAAAGGGGGCCTACAGGAGAGATGGGGAGGGACTCTTGATCAGGGAGTGTAGGTGATAGGATGAGGGGTAGCAGCTTTAAGATGAAAGAGGGTAGATATAGATGGAGCAGCCATCCAACCCAGACCTTCTATGATTCTGTGAATCACAGTGTTCTCTTTATTGTAGTCAGGGACAATGTCTTGTGGGACAATGTGGGAAATGTCTGTTTCCTCCTTGTTTTCCTGTTCAGTAGTTACAGGTTTGTCCCAGTAGCCTTAGTGTTAAAACACAGTCTACAGGTAGTCATGAAAAAAACAATGTGTGAACTGTTTTGCTATAGCAAGTAGCTATTTCCTCCACGTTATCTTATATTTCTATTATTTTTTCCCTTCTTCCTGCCCATTTAGGAAACAAACCCAAACAAACTCAGATTTAAATTGGAGTCTCATGAAGCTATTTCAGAAGTCTTTTCCCTCTGCCCTCTCCACCCCTAACCTTTCAGATGGGAATTACACTTTCTTCTAGTCATTAACATTTTGCAACTGCTCTGCTTACACGACCTTCTCCATCAGCATCTTGAGCTGCTCCCTGCAGTGTTGCTGAGCAAGTAGACAGTATATGTCTGTGGGCCTCCCATCTCACACTGCCATGTCCATTTGCTGCCACTCACCTTCTGTTCGGCGCAGTGGCAGCTTCAAGTCAAAGGTAGCTCTGAAGTAAATTTCTCCTATGTAAAACCATGTGCCCTCACATTTAGCCATCATGCTTGCAGGCAGCGCTGGCATCTGCCTAATATTTATTTCTTTTATCTGCGACAACTTCTCACCCCAGAATTTACAGTTATTCAGCAGGCAGAACAACCAGTACCCATAGCTGAGAGCATGGTCAAGAAGTGTTATGTTGACCTTGTTCAATGGGAATTGTGTTAATGCTCTGTACCTCAAACCACAGAGAAGTGAGTAACCATATGAACAATAAACTACATTTCTTCCTCCTGCATTAGTAACAGGACTACCATGCCGTGGAATCATGAATCTTTTGGGATGACTTGAATAGGTCTGAAGTGTCATGCTGGAATTCTGTTTAAACAGTCTGGGTTGTTTCAGGTTTTTTCATTGTAAAACAGTTGCAGACAGTAGATTTATGTTAGCAATGAAAGTGCTGGTTTGCTTCCTTTAAGGTTTCAAAAGGTAAAAAAAAAAAAGTTTTCTGGAATGAGCATGCCCCAAACTACCCTGGAAGCTAGCACAGATCCTGGTTTACAATGGTTTAAAAGACTGGTATATCACAGCAGCTTAAGCCGTTGGCACATCTTCCCACTCCTCCTGCTCTATGTGTGTACTTCTTGGTGATAGAATAAATGTAGATTCCACAGTAAGCAATAATGGTTGCAGTAGTGAATGTATTAACTCCCTGAGGCAGTATGTGTATTCCCACATGAATTTTGTAATATTTAATTTTTCAGAGGATTTATACAGGATTCCCACCTGTCATATTTTATAGATTCTTTACCCAAATGGACTATTCCTTACTAACACGTATTTCATTTATTAACACTTGTTATCTCATTTAGAGACTAATTCACTCTCATTTTTACTAGAGGTTATTTTCACAAATAGGATGTAGGCAGATAGAGCAAAAGACTCATCACAGGAGAGTACTTCTAATAGCATGAAAATACAGTAAGAATTTTCAAATATGTAATAGCTCATAAGGAAAATCTGATACTACTTTAGATTACTTCCAATAATTAAAAGGTATTGCTATGATGTTCTACCTTAATAGCAATGACTTGGAAATATCAGTACCATGCACTTTCATACAGAATAAAGTATAGTAACAGGGCACGGAATTTTACATGATGGTAGGCTTTTTTGTTAAGGAAAGTTTATGAAGTAAAGATTTGTATAAAGATATTCTAAGTCTTCCTGCATACTTGTATTGGGATCATAAATCTGACTGGGCTTAGAGGTGAAGTGTCTACACATTTTCTGTGAGGTGAGCACACTGAAAATATCAAAAGGGCTTTACATTTCACAGTACAGGTTTTCTTCTGTCAAATATTAGACCTAAATATCTGAGTTTCTCTGTTTCAGGATTTCTGACGGGTGAGATAAATAGAAATTAAGTGAGTGGGAAAGAAATTTTGCCCTTCCCACATGCTGTATCCTTGCAGACGTGGGCCTCACCTCTTTTCTTCAACCCAGAAACTTCCAATGGCAAGGTCTGTAAGAAACACTGGGCAAACTCTGGGCCTGTTCATCATCTTCTTTTCTGACATTGGTCAACAACTGGATCTGTGTCTACCCTTTTGTCTTCTCAGGAGTTCATCTTTTTCTTCTCCTGCCTTGGGTTTCCTGATACATCTTTTTCTGTCTCTCCCCTGTACTGCAGAAGCTTTTCCAGTAGCACAGATGCCATTACTCTGAAGAAAAAAAAAAAATAATGTTCTCCCTTCTCATTCATAAGGTCCTATCTGAGTCAAAGAACATCACTGAGGATGAGACCAAAAACCTTCCTCCCCAATGCACAAACACTTCCTCTAGGTGAACATGTAAAGTCTGTTGTATGCCTGGTACTCCCTTTCCAAAGAGCCCTGGGAAAAGAGGAGAGGTGGGGAATAAGCAGCATTCTTTTGCAGAGTAAACTTGGCCTTTCTTACACAAGCTCAGTTTCCGCTAGTTGGCTGGGCTAGCCAGTAGACAAACAGTGTCCCCCCAACAGGGCAGGCAAATGTCTCAAGCCCAATGGGAAGCAAAGAGAGCCTTCACTATGCCATGAACCAGTCACGCCAGTGACTGTAGGTCTGTAGGACGCTGCAGCTAAAGTTGCAGCAGTAGATCACATTGCACCTATTCATTGCAGAGTAGGCCACATCACTATTTTTCCTACCATTCTACGTGGCTCTAGTTGGCTACATACCTCTCCATATTTGTGGAAATGCCTGGAGGCTTGGTCTATCCTTCAATTGCTTCTCTAAGTCATTAAGGGGTAGACTGCTACAGAAGTGCTACGTTTTTCATTGGTGTTTGTGCTGCCTCAGAGATGCTAATAATTTCTCATTACAACACTGTTACTGATTAGACACCAGCGTTCATCCTTTTGACATAATGCTTGACGCAGCAGGCAATTTCATGTTTGTGTTTCATTCAATTACTTTGCTATAATTTCCCTAAGGAATAGTTGGGATTTCCCGTCTATTTTAAGGAATGTACTTCTCATTTTTCCTTTGGTTCTTTTTGTGCCGCA